CTAAATTTAATCACAATATAAAATTTTTTTATGTTGCAAATTACCATTTTATCAATCACAATTACCCAAAAAATAGGTCACAAACACTCTTCATCCCTCCCACTCCACCACCACCTAAACATTGTGCCACCTCACTGCCACCATCACCGCCACCACCTACACTGACAACCATCATTTGCAAACTGACCCCCGATTTTGAAATTGCAATCAGGGGCTTGTATTTTCATAAATTGCACTAGAAGCCCCCGCCCCCAAATCCTCATCTAAAACCTAATTTTTCTCTTCCCTTTCTCTTTGCGGTGCCAATGACACACTGTGCGCCATCTCATGGCGCGTTGCTACTACAATAGCAGCAACGCCCATCTTTGCTTAGCCTAGCTATGTGGCGAAGTGGTGGTAGCTACAACAACAATGGCGAAGTGTTGGTGGTGGTGTGTGCAAATTGTGACTTGGGGATGCGTAAAAGAATAGGTGGGGTTTTTGAAATGATAAGTTAAAAAGAAGGGCTAGGTGTAATTTCCTCGAGAAATAAAGTAAAAACCGCCCATATGGCTGGTTAGGGCCGGAGACTTAGGTTAGGCCGGGCTATCCTAGGCTGTGCTGGGCTAAACAAACAGTGATGAGAGGTCCAGACCCCACCTACACACTTGGACTTGCACTACAGCATTCCAATGAAATTATCGACGAAATTAAACCTTACAAAAAAGAAAAAAACTGCGCGCACACATTTATTTCTTGTTCTTTCAATTTCTTTTTCATCTTTTGCATAAATAAAAGTTGGAGATACCCTACAGAAAATATAGAAACAGGAACAAAAGCCCCTTTATAATCTGCTAAATTCAGCACAATCATAATTCATACTGTCCTAAAACTCAGCTAAATTTAGCACCTGTTCCTGTTCCTGCTCCTAACCCACGTTTATCAACTAAAATACAAATATTACTATGAAAATTCGATATTACTATCATTAATTCCACCTAATCATTCTCTGGCATACATCAGATGGTCCAGCATTGTCCTCTTTTTCTTAGACATGCTTTTCCTGTATACTAGCAGACAGAACATTGTGGCTTCCATGTTTCCAATTCTTCTCTTTATCCATTTTTCACTTGTTGAAATTCAGTTCTACTTCTCTATCTTCCTTGGCTTAATTGTCTTATCTACCTGAATCTTCCTCCAAATACTGGTGTCCAGAAATCAGATGTATTCTCTGCTGCAATCAAGAAGGTGCTCGATATGGGCACAAGGCAAAGACCCCGGCTTTTAAGGTCGAGTTTCGACCCTTCTTGATCCTTAAGCTTACCGGCAGTCTGCATAAAATATATGTTTGATGATCCCAAATTCTTATAAGAGTATCATAATGTATGAACATATAATGAGATACCTGGAAATATCTGAAAAATAATAGTTTGCTTTAGGTCCTACCTGTTGGCGATGAACTGGAGGTACATTTTTCATGTATGGAGTACTCAATACCTGATAGCATGGAGACACCAACACATTTGAAAAAAGAAAAATCGAATTTCAAAGTATTGTAACGGAAGTTCAAGAAAATGGAACATACACTGACTTGATCATGGAGAAATTTGATGTACTCAATTACTTCTTGTAGAACAGATGCAGTATCAGTCTGGAAAAGTGACAAACTTTCAGAAATTACAAAGGAATATTGCACTTGTCAAAATGTTTGGGAAAAAAAAAAAAAAAATTCCAATTTTTGACCTTTCCGAAAGGTGAAACCAACTGCTGGAGAGCAGTTATTCGGTCCCCCAGCTTCCCTTTTCCGACCTGATAAAAAAGCTGAAAGTCATCTTCCACTTCTTTGCACAAATATATAATTCTTTCACTTGAGAAATAGAATGCCTAATTAAAGTCATAAGATCATTAGTACCTTAAATGTTGGTAATGGAGATGGTGTTTCAAGTCGCGGACGTTTGAATGTAGGCTTATTGCTGGATTTATTTGTTATTGGGTTCAAGTCTCCGGCCGTTTTGTTAGCCTGAAAATTAGAGATATTACTGAATTTTTAAATTCTGAAAAACCCTAGTCACATGCCAAATTAAAAGGACTTGTACATGATGTGTAATAAACCATCTAGATTCAATTCACCTTTGCAGCGAGGTTGGGAAGATTAGGTTTCACATCGAGAGCTGATAGCAGGAACTGGGATTTTGTTGAAGGAAAAATGTTTCCAATATTGTTTGAAGCTACAGCAGCGGTGGTCCAAGAAGGTGTGCTCTTTGAAAATTGCAAAGGATTAGTAGGCCTAAAGTTCATATTCGAGTTTTTCAATAAAGATTGCTGAGACTGAGAATCTGTATTGAGTAAACTTTGCAACAAAGCTGAAGTGTAGCCATATGTAGCTGAATTCAATGGAAAGCACGTCGAAAAACTTTGACTAGTTTCTGTGCTTACATTGGAGCTATTTATTTGTTTGAGTGAGTTTATGGACGAATCTTCAACATCCCCGGAAATGTTTCTTGAACTCCAGTCGTTCTGGATTTGAGGACAGTCGACCCCAAGTTGTTGCGAAAAATTCATGCTGGAATTGAGGTCTTGTTGTAGGATCTGGGAATAATTTCCTTGAGAAATTCCATTGTCCTTCCTACAAAATGGCAAGAAGAAAGAAATGAATTTCTTGGATCAACTTGACTTCCTTTTTCATACGATCACAAGAAAATAAGTCTGAATTGTCCACCTTTTTACAAGCACTGAGTATTGGACCATTAGGGGTTTTGATTAGTGGGACAAAAGTTAAAATAATCAACAAAAAAAGCAGCAAGAACTGGTTCAATAAACTTACAGTAAATCTTGATTCCAATTAACAGCTGCTGTGGATGGTGAAAGGGTAATTCCCATCATTTGTAGGATTGAGTCTGGTTTCTGCATTTCTTGAAGTACAATAGAGCCATCTGAAGCTGAACCAGACTCATTATCACCAGATCTTGTAGTCTTCATGTTCATCATCATATGATGATCACCTGGCCATCCAAAGCTTTCAACACCGTTGATTGCCAATGAACATGGAGAATCAAATGCAATTCTTGATGAACTCCACCAGTTCCCGCCATCATGAAATTCCTCCGCCATGGTTAAGAATTGCGTTCTTGGCGAATATGGTTCTTAAGTACTGAAATAGATGGCTAATGTTGTGTACGTGGGTCTATTATATATAGATTTAGATACATATCCACACACAATATATACACACGGACAGGTTCATTAAACAGCCGGAATCTTGTTGACATTTGTAAGAAACCAAGTGGCACAATGAATTATGACAAAGAAAATTAAAAAATTAATTCAAAAAGACTTCTTTTTTTTATTATTTTCTATTAATATTTTTATTCTTGTCACTGTTGTTACTTTAATTATTGAATTTTTTACTTTGTTGGTGTGTATGAACACTGTAAAAAAGAAAGGGAAAATAATCCTAATTGCTTAAAAACAAAGGATAGAGAATGATGGGAAATTTGATACTTGTTGCCTCGTCATAGTTTTCGGAACGGCGGCCCCTTTTTGGTGCACATTTTTGTTTCAAGAATGCATTTTTTTGGTTGATTTGATGGAAAATATATGGTTGGAAAAGAATGAAAAATTATTTATGTGATGAAAAATATTATTTTATTGAAAAATATATGATTGAAAATGAGTAAAAAAATGAAAATGAAAAAAATAACGTGGCTGAGCAGAACAATGTATCTTTTTGGGTAATTAAGGTTCTACGGCCTAAATTGTTTGTACCGAGGAACCGGAATATTAGGACCATTCCTCACTTAACTTTCAAGATTCAGTACGATTGAGAAGGGATATAATCTTTTCTCATTAATGACTACTCAGTAGTACTTTAATACATATATTCCTAGAAATATGATTATTCCTTTTTTGGAACATTGAGAAAATATTTAATGGGTAAAGTTAGGTTTAGGTTCCATAATCTTTTACGTGGTGTGAATATAAGTTTTCAACGTTTAAAACAGTGGTTTTATGTTCTCAACTTATTTAAATTTGTTAATAGAGTTTTCAAGCGACGCAAATAATTCGTTCTTGATTTTCACACGGCTCACAACTAGAGGGCATAATTGTCAAATCACTTAACGTTTTTATCCAATTTAACTTAAAGTCGCATGCAACTTTAACGTCTGATTTAATGATTTTCTTCACTTGGGATCCAAATTTACAACGTCAAATAGTTTGGGGGAATCAAAATTTCATTTTTGAAGATTGAGACTCATGACGCACTACGTGAAAACATTGGGAATCCAACCCTAATTTATCATTATTTTATTAATTTTAATTAAATTCGGAAGTGGATTTGCATATTGGGTTCATGCGATGTTGAAATAAGAGGGTACAATATGAGTTGGGTTTAAAATATCATAATCTTTTTTATTCGTTGCCGTCGTGATTATGTTAATATAAATATTTGACAGAATTTGATTTTTGATTTTTCTATGACATCGACAAGAAGAAAATAGATAAGTTTTTCTATAGTAAAAAATGGGTAACCGCTTATTTATTAGGAAAAATTGCAGTAGCGGTCCCCAACCTTTGAGTGAAAGAATAATTAGGTTTGGATTTATGGCTAAGGACTTTGGCCAATTAGTTTAAGACCAGGCTGTATTTTGCATTTTGACTTGAGCTCCTCCTATGTTATTTTTTGTAGTTTTTGGAAATTTTTTAATAAATTAAAAGTGGATTGTTCACTTAATTAAGTTAATTATTGACTAAGTTGAAGGGGCACTTTACTCTTAAGTTTGCCTTTAAAATTATTTCACGTAAGCAATTATTAATCAAGATTGATCAAGCTCACGAAGAGAATTGTCCTAACGTTTTATGGAGAAGTTTTATATTGTGCGTATACTATATAAATAATTACAATTGCACCCTCGAACTCTAGGAAAATTCTTCGAGTGCTCATATATTTTGCGTGTCATCAATACTTAATTATTTTCTTTCTTTCTTTCTTTCTTTTCCCTCCAAATTGACCTGCAATTAAGCTTGGAGTAATCCAAGTTATGAAGTTTAAAAATAGCACAAGAGGTCCCCCAAGCTTGATGCCTATCACACTTTGGTCCCAGTTATATCTCAACTTAGTTTTCATTTTAGTTTAGGTCCTGAAAGGACAATTTTATTCGTGTCCTTAATTATCTAGCTAAAATCTCGTTAAAAATATGAATATACCCATCTTTAAATAAATAAAAACACAAATGAAAATTCAATCCCACCCTCGCCCACGCCCTCGCCCTCGCCTCGCTAACACTTATATGACCACCACACCAATTCGCATCGACTTCCGAAAAACAAGCCCAAAACTCAAAAAAATTCAAAGTTCAAAAATTTCTTCAAAATCCAAGCATTTGCACAACTTTTATGCCAATGACAAGAAGAAAATAGAAATAATTATATATTTTACGACAAATTAAAAATAGAAATAGTAACTACTTAAATTTAACTAGGAACATGAAGTAATATCTTGTTGAAATTGACCCTCTAATTCAATTAAGAAGTTGACTAATCCTCTCTGGGTGTAGATTAAAATCAAATTTTAAATATATTTTAATAAAAGTTGATGAAATGCGTGATCGAAAAGTTGTGAATCTCATGAAATGTGTAATTAAAGTTAATGGCTGGATTTGACTCAAACAAGGCTAAATGATTGAATATCAAAGTAATTATGATTTTAAAATCTGTAGCCCGCCTAATAATTAGACTTGAATGCATATAATGCATGTTTGTTTTAAGAATTTCTAGTGTTTTACAGTCGATATCTATGTTATTTTGGTTCATTTTGGTGATTGTACGATGAAGTCACCATCTTGAAGTACACTAGCGAAATCGGAGAGAAAATATGAAGAATTCGAGATTTTGAAGTGAATATCAAGATTCGAGCATTGGAGGATGAGAAAGAGAAATTATAGAAGAAATGAGGTGTTTCGAAATAATAAAGAAGAGTTGAATTGATGGATCAATCGCCCGAATGTTACGTCGGAGAAGCGAAATGAAGAACCTAAACACGGAGCATGTGAGGAAATTATAGCATAATGGCAAATGATATATCATTAAAAACATCATTGAATTTGAAGTTCGACGTAAATGCAAATTGTGATTTGGAGTTATTGATTAAAAGTTATGAGCATTCGAACATCCAAAAGTTGCTAGACACCCAGCTCAATGTGGGCTCTCATGGAGGAACAAATTTTTGAGTCCAGTTTAGCTGTTGCTCTGAATCTGATTTGAACTGTAAATCATTGAATTTCTTGGAATTTAAGCAAGGATAAGGAAGAAGTTTATTCAAGATCAATTGAAGAGATCAAGAGCTCGAGTTTAATCTTCATATATTACTTTTAATATTCAATAAGTGTTTTTGAAATTCAATTATGTTATATTAAACTTTTAGTTGTTAGGATAAAGATAAAACCTTATCGACTATTAAACTTCCAATTGAGGTCGGACGCTATCAACTTATTCCAGAATATAGCGCAATCGTTCTAAAAGACGGAGAAGAACCTACGTGCTTACATCGCATGCTTTCCGGAGACATGCGACAATAGGGGGGTGTGGACCCCCCTATTGTGAGGAGGGTGTACACCGAGATGTCACAAGTAGCAAAACCTGAAGAACAATTGGAATTTGTCAATATCATTTTTGCCATGGTTATAACCAGATACTCAGTTTATATGGTCTTTTATTGTAATTGAGACGTTGCTATCTAAACTTAAATTTTTCGTATCTAGAGAAAATTGAGAAATTGTTGTACCAAACTTCTAATAATTAGATATTCTAACTTGATTGAAACATAGGTTAGACTGTTTTGACATTTTTTTCATGTGCAATTAGGTTACTTTTCTTTGATGTGGAAGGGAATTTGGTCACACCTATCCACTCCTTGAACTTTCTACTTGTCCTTTTGCAGTGGTGGAATTTTATTTATTCATTTGACCCTTACGTTTATGTCATGCCTTGTGACTTCTCCTAATAGCTATTTATTTATAAACACGTGTATAATTAGTGCATTAGGGTTCAACATGTCATTAAAAAATCATTTTTAAACTTACTTTTTTCAGCCTCTAATGATAATAATTTAATGTTTCCCTTTTTTTAATTTATGTCCTTTCGAAAATCGAAAACTACAAGTTCATGGACGGATGGAGGGTGGTCATGACAATTTTTAGGTAAAAAAAAAAGTACGGAATTTTTTTTATGTATCAGCCCAGTAGGAAAAATTTTTGTCTCCCTGACTCCGCCCCTGCACAAGTCAGAAAGTTAAAAACTTTTTACGAATAAGTAATTTGAAAATACTTTTGTAATTTCAAACATTCTGAATTTGGTTTACTAATTTCAAAAGGGCAATAATAGATTGACTTCTATCATGTAAGCATATTCTCACAAACCACAATTCCTTGATATTGGATTGACATATTATTAAACGTGCACAACTAGTCTTCCATGTGATGTTGACATGAATCGAATTGATCGACGACTAAGGGTTCGTTCGATAGGCAAAAGTGAAAAAGAATTACAATTACATGTTAGTTGAAAAATAAAAATCCACCAAATCCCATAGGAATTCGTTTTCCATGAAAACAAAGAAATTGCAGCTTAAAGTAGAAGTACCTTGAATTCGATTTCCATTTCCACGTTACAATCAAACGGTTAAAGTAGAATTCGTTTTCCTCGAATGTGACATTTTTCATGAAAAATGTCACAATCAAATATGACCTAATATTCTTCCTTTTGTCCGTTCACGCATTGTGAGTCATAAAAAATATTTTGAAATTGACTTTGTAAAAAGTAAATGAGTATACGCGTTATTATTCTATTGATATCATGTTGTAAGAATTGAATCGCTTTTTTTTTTTTTCAATTTCTAATATTTTCATCATCATGATACTTGTCCAGCTTATCACTGACAATTTATTCAAGCGATTAACATCTCGTGCTAGACATGCCCACTCTAATAGCATAATGTATACAATTAATTCTATATTTGATCATCTTTATCTAAAAATTCATTTTTTCTCAGACTTACTTTCAATCATATATTTTCATAATAAAAAAAATTCACGTAAATTCAATTTTTTTCTACT